TATCACTACAACGCCCCCTTTTAAGTCAACAAAAATTAAAATGTGACTTTGAATCACATACTGGGACAGGTTCTTCTTTGGTGACTGTTTGTTTGATGATTGGAGTATGATTTCTTTGCTCTCGTCCTCTCCAAATCAGAATTCTGACCATGCTGTTGGGGACGGTAACCTTAATACCTCACAATGCTCTTTCTTTCTGTTAACCTTCAGTGGCAGTAGATTGACATCTTGCTTAGTCACGAGTTAGAATCCAGGGGGAGCATCTGCATGAGAGAAACTAACAGTAGTTTGTGCATCTCATTACTTAACCTTAGCAGCCCTGTGACGATGCTGTGCTGATATCTTCATCAGGCTGTGTAATTATTTTCACTATGCTTCACTGTCTTCTAACTTCTGTGACCAAATCAGAGAGACTATTAGCTTTGGAAATATTTTTGAGCTATGATATGTGTATATGGAGAAAATAATTTCAGTTTAACTTTTTTTCTTCTTTTCTGTTGTTGACAAATGCTATATTGGCTTTTTTTCTGTACATATTGAGGGCTTTTACAATTTTTGTCTCTTGTACTATCTTTCATCCTTTTTTTTTTTTAGATGCCATTTTCTAAAAGAAAATTCCAATTATTCACAATGTATATTGTCTAAATAGATCTAGTCAACATTAGTCTATTAAGACTTCCCTGTATCATCACTCATTCATTGTAAAAGGTATTTGATCTGCTGCCTGTACATTGTATATAGTTGTAAAACGAACGCTGATCAGATTAAATAAAACCCACATGAAGACTTAAAAAGATTAGCTAGAAAGTATAATTGTATGCATATATGTACAAAAAGAATCTTAAGAAGGATGCAATTGACATGCTGATGATTTACTATTTGTCATGCTTCATTCATGATGTCGTCTTTTCTTTTACGATGATACTTTGAGTCATTGGGCCACATGATGGGGTTCCTTTTTTTTTTTTTGGATGTTGGGGGGGAAAAAGGGTTAAATCTGTCCTAACAGATGTTGTATGGGTGATGTACTACTGAGAAACCTAAGCACAGTGCTGCACAGAGGCAGCAGCAGAAATGGCACCCTGCTCCATCTGCTTCTCTGCCCCTCAAACACCTCATGTACCCGTGGCTTCCTGTGGAAGAGCAGCGGCTTATTTACCAAGAAGCTGCTCTTCCTTCTGGCCTTATGTGCACTCTTTGACAATTCACCTCTATTAAACGCTTTTCAATCTGCAAATTGTTTTGTGAAATGAAGCCCCCCCCCTCTTTCTTCATTATTCTGGTGTGTGATCTCTCTTAGCTGCCTGGTTGTCTTTTTGTTTTTGCATCTTCCCAAACAGTCAAGGCCCTTATCAGTGCCACACAAAGGGGTTTTTCAGCTCACCACGATGGATATTTTGTGCGCTCGCTGTATTCAGAACAACACAGTGCTTTCTTTTGGGTCCTTTTTTTAGTCCATTATAGCATGGCACAACTTTCAGTAAACGCTTTGATCTCCAATATACCAGTTAAAGAGAAAACGATCTGGGTCCTTGCTATTCTAAACCAGACTTTAAGTGGCTGTAAATCAAGGCAGGACATGATGAACAGCAGTGGGTGGATTCTTTTTGTCTGAGTCTTTATAATTTTGTTTTTAATCCATTTCTGCTGTTGAAGAACTAAAACAAAACTGGGGCAGAGGGGAAAAAGCCTGTGTAGCTGGCTAATAACCACAAGGGGGAGCTGTGCAAAATGGAAGGCTGAAGGGATGGGAAAGGAAGTTTGATACTCCTACTGTTCCTGAATGTTTTTGTGTTGTTTGTATTGTCTTACTCAACCAGTATGTACCCTTGTCCGTCACATTAGATGGTTTATTTTGATGATTCAGTCATTCATGCTGTTTAAAACCTACAAATGGAAATGAACCCAACATAAGTGCTTTGGACACTGTAACTGTAAAAGGAAGAGAAGAAATGGAATCAAGTACTCATCAGAGGTGTGTGTGTGTGTGTGTGTGTGTGTGAGTGTGTGAGAGAGAGAGAGAGAAAGAAAGAGTCATGCCCGAGAGGATGTGATGGTGTGCGACATGTCTTCTGTCTACATAGGACATGATTTGTGGCTGCAATTGCTTTCAGCTTCTGAGCTGCATGTGAAAACCAGTGTAAATAACACCATTTCTACTCTCGATCTAAGACTCTTTTTGAAGTGCTAGAAAAGTTCCAATTATACAAATCTGTCACACCACCTTCATGGGTCAGTACTAACATGTACAATAAGGAGTTGTTGAAATAGTGCTCACATTGCTCTCGATGTTTTTAAACCATCTGTTATTTGGTTTATTGATTATTGCTTTTTTTGTTCGTTTTGTTTTTTGGATTTTTTTTTTTTGTTGTTGTTGTTGGGGTGAATTCAGTGTGCAAAGGGCTTGGGAAAGCGTCTGAATTGCCACCACGTTCATGAACTTCCCCTGTTGAATTAAAAAAATAAATAAATAAAAATGCATCTGCTGTATTTTGAAAACCAAATCTGTACACGCACACACCCGAACTCCTGACCTGCCCTGACTGAAAACAAAACTGTATCTGATTAGTTGGGGGAGGGTGAAGGCATGAGGCTCACTTTTGACTCGTATGAACTGTTATCACAGTTCTGTGGCTTCAAGGTGAGTGTGAATGTCAGACTGAAAATATAAAAGGATGACTAAAGATGAAGAGTTGTAAACTATTAAATGGGATATTTTCAATTTATGCTGTGTATTGTCTTTGGGTTGGAGAAAATGATCAAGCGAATAAAAAGTCAAAAATCTACACGAGCTACGGTAGTTTTCTTTTGTGCTTTGGGGTCTTGTGTGTAAGAGTCTACTGAAAAGAAATGCTGGGCTTAAATTATTCATTTAATATTTATACCAAGGATGGATCACTTCTAATTGTTTTATGTCCTGTTTATCAAATGTTGAAAACTGGGATAAGAATGAGATATAAATAGAAATGAGTTTATTGCTATTATAATCACCTAGATTTTAAAAATGTTTTGTGCTGTTAATATCGACTCAAAGTATGAGTGGATCTGTGAGTGCTATGTATCTGTTTTTAATCGGCATTTAATAACCATGACTGGACCTGGGATAAAATTAAACTGACCTTTATGATATAGAGGGGAGATTTAAGAAAGCGCCAAAAGGTATGTTTCTAATGTTTCAGCATCCTGGCATTTGTGCCTTATTGTGAGGGAGTTCTACAAAATGAAAAGTAAATTGTAAGGCATTCAGAATTGAAGTTCTAGATTAGTCAGCATATAACACTTGGATTTGTGGCCCCTTGAGTAAATTGCTTACTCAAACCCTCTGGCCAAAATGAAGCGTCTACTGCACAGTTTCTAAATGATTGCAATCAAGTGAAATGATCATAAAGGTGTCAAAGAGCAATCTAAAAAGGTATGGGAGTCATTTATCTATCATCATTTCTTAGGTTCATATAGTAAGACAAGAAGATCAGGTTATTTGCTTTAGAAATGACTTTAACTGTAAAAAAAATAATAAAAATGTGTCTGAAGAGAAGCCTTGTTTTGTTTCCGGTTTTCAGAAATTTTCTCCTTGTTGACTGGGTACTTTTCACTCACGATTTAGTCACGTGAAAGGGTTTTCACAGGACTCCAGGCTGCCTAATGAAAATCTAAATGCACAGTTACTCCCTCCATAGGAATTAAGAGTGTAAGTAGCAGGCAGGTGCTGCTAGCATTTGATCAGTGTGATCTGGAACATTCAGGTGTGTGACGATGCTACAGTCTTGCCAGGAATGTGTATCACTTCAAATTCACTCGAAAGTCAGACTCTGTGATGCTCAGGGAAATTGTAAAACAAAAACAAACAAAAAAAACCCAAGACCAGCATCTCAGACTCTACCTGCCTCAGTCAGCATGATAAATGATGAAGTCCAGGACAGTAGTTCATCACAGAAGAGAAAGCCTCTTCTCTTTAAGGAGGGCATGACGCCACACTTTAGATTTGCAAAGTTGCATCTGAACAAAAGTGTGTGGTTATAATGCACAGTGCAGTGTTTGGTGAAAAACAGATGCAACATATCAGCACAAACACCTCTCATCAAATATCAAGCACGGCGGTGGAGGGATGATGATCCGGGCATGTTCTGTAGTTGCAGGACCCGGGTAACCTGCTGACAGAGATTTAGTCAATTCCTCTCAATGCCACAGTATTCTAGAGTCAACTACAAGGCTATCCGTCTGGCGGCCAAAGCTTTGCTAAAACTGGGTCATGCAACATGGCAGCACAGCAGTGAATGTACAGCAGAAGGGCTGAAAAAGAAAAGAATCAAGGTGTTGCAATGATCCAGTAAAGTTCAGACCTCAATAAGATTAAAATGCTGTGACTGGAGCTTAACGCTGTGCAAAAATGAATGCCAGCAAACGTTAACGATGTGCTGTGGATATTCAGGAAACCTCAATAGCTATGTGTGATAAGGTTCAATCTAAACCCACCCATCCATCAAATCAACCTTTTCCACTTACCCAATTCAGGGTCGCGGGGGAGATGCAGGATATCCCAGCAGTCACAGAGCGACAGGCCGGTCACACCCAAAGTCACGCGCAAAAACCGTAATGTTTGTGACACAGCTCAGAACAACTGCTTTTAAACACAGACTGTAAACCCATCACGAGACACTACAAAAACATGAACCCATGTCTGACACACCCAACAGATAAATGCATTTTTAAACATTTTCTCCCTATTTACTTAACGATAATGAAAAAAAAAGTTTTATCCACAGACTAATAAGAGCCTTTCTTTCTCCCCTCTCATTGAATAGGTGCAGCAGAGGGTTAACGCTTAATGACACGCCCTGCAAACACCTCTCGTGTTTTTATGACTGCATCAAGTGGGAAAACTTGCCTCATCATTATTATGAAGCATCCCCTTCAGAAAGGCCTATTGGCTGCTGAATAATAAATACCCTGAGCCCGCCCATTTCATGTTTATTGATCAGCTCTCCGGGGCCTATCTGACAGCAGTCAGATGAGTCGGGATATGGCGTCGCTGCACCGACACAGGATGAATTTTCACCTCTCCGTGGGAATTTACAAGTCGCGCGCCGGGACATCGCTTGCTTTTTGTCGCCGTTAAAAGGGATCACACATGGCGATGGAGGACAAGGACAATAACGCGGAGGTCGCTGCGACCAACGTCCGAACGGGCATCAAGAGAGGAGGTGATGTCGGAGATAACGGGGCTTGCATAGACAGGCAGCCGGACACGGTGGTCCACCAGGCGGGGCTGAACCAGACTGCGGGTCGCGGCAGCCGCAGTGGTCCCGGAGCTCACGCTGCGACGGGGATCCGAGTGCTAAAGGCAGGTCATAACCAGAGGGAGCAGCCGGGGGGGATTTAAAGTGATCGACAACTGTCATGTCAAGGTGGTTACATCGCAGTAGGTGCTCGGAACAGGGCAAAGTGCATCCACGGATACGCGCGCATCCTTCCCAGCAGTGTTATGTAAATGCTGTGATATCGCGTCTAATTGATAATTGATCCGAGGCAGTCAGGAATGCACCGGAGCCGGTAACAGCGGCAGACCACACACTACAGGCACTCATAGCTCGCATATACCCAGGCCCGCTGCTGAACAGTTTTCTTAGAAATTTTTAGGGGAAGACATGATGAGTAATGACACGCAAGTCCCCAAAGCAAGAGACACGCGCGTACATACAGAGAACCTCAGCTCTGGTATTTCATTTAGACTGTGAGTATTAAACGTTTATTATATTTAAAAGAGGTATTTGAGGATTTGCAATGAAATAGGTAATAAGTATTAAACACCTTGATGTTTGCACCCAGAGCATTAGTTTCTACCTGCCTGTCAGCATCAATACAGAAAGGTGAGTAAGTGAATTCTTTTCACAGTTATAGGTCTCAGATATAGATTAAAGTAGAGGTACTTCCTTCTGAGTCCGGACAGCTTGTTCAGTCACATTCCCACAGTGACACACATCCATACTGGGGAGGTGCCCAGGACATCTGTAGTCCAGTGGGGTGATTCCACAGCTTCATCAGACACACCTTCACAGCTGCGGACAAAGAAGACATCTGCACTTTACTTTCTCTGTGACCTCTTCGTTTAAATCATCCGTTCGCCTGATCACAGCCTTAGCTCTCTAACCTCTGGAGCAATGCTGCTCCAGGTATGATCCATTGTGTGGATGTTTATTCTTGACCTTGAGAATAGAGGCTTATATAGGATGCGACTTTGTTACCGTAAAGAAAGAGTCTAAGAAAAGAAACAAATTAAGCCGTCTGTTGGGCATTAAATGAGAGGATTTGCCAAGTAATTCATCAGATTAATCAAGATAAAATTACCGTTATTTTAACAGGAAATCAGTCATTAAATCAGTTATTGAGTAACAGTACCAAATACTGAGAAACTGTGGCCAATGCTGTTCAAAAACCCTACCAAAAACGATCAGTTATCACACTTTTTACTCTCAGGCTTATCGAACATGGAAGCCAGTGCAGGCTGAAGATGACATCATTTAAAAACAACAGCAATGATACCTGTTTGTCACCAGAACGGATGCTCTCCAGACCTTTGATATGTTTCTTTGTACTGATTAGATCTAAATGCATCCCACGTGATAAACTCCAGCCTCACCAAGAACTGCTGTTACTGATATTTTATCGTTCAGGAGAGGATTATTCTTCATTGATGTCTGTTTAAGAGTAACATTAGGCTACTCCACATCCGGCTAATGTCATCACGGGCGATTAGTGAAAATAATGGTGCTGTGGTTTCTCTTCAGCAGTCACACCGTCCACCCTCAATGCGAACGAATAAACTTTAATGGTTGACTTTAGTTTAGGGAAGAGCGAACATTTCTATGAAGATTATCCAATTGGTAACTACCAGTGCAAATTGATTTGTGGCTGGATTAAACCCCCAGCACGTCTGGGAGAGTGTGTAGTTCATCTTGAACCACTCTCTGTTTCCTCAGATGCCCTTTGGCTTTCATGCTATGTTTTTGATTACAATCTGTGTGTGAGAAAGACTAATATTCTGTGTTTTTCTGTGTTAGCAGCGCAACATGAAGCGGAACGGGAGTCGAAGCTGCATGACGAGAAAAACCAGGTTTGGATCACGAGAGCGGGACTGGCTGAAAGGGGACACCCAGCGGGGCTGTGTGTGTCTGTATGGGGGAACAGTAGACCCTCAGCCACCTGCCTCTGGCACACAGGCCTCCTCCACCCCTCAGACAGACCTGCAGTTGGTGCTCTGCTCCACCAGTACCACAGTGGAGGAGCTGTGCGCTCAGAAGAAAGGACACGCACTTTACGTTCAACTGCACGGAGACCTAGTGAGGTAAATTTACATCATGTCGAATCATGGTGACAAAGTTGCATTCAGCAACTGCAGAGTAAAGAGAGTTCAGTCCACATCAGCTACTCAAGATGGGGCCAACACATGCATCAGGCATCCAACAGCTTCATTAAATAAATACCAATTAATCATGTTAAGAAAATAAGAGACAAATCAAAGCACAAGAAGAATTATGCAAATATAAGCACGTGAAATGGGAGCTTGCTAAAAATGTATAATACAATCTCATCCTCAGTTAATGCAAAGAAGGTAAACACACCACTGAGCACTTGCTGCAGTTGCCCTATCATCCCGCACTCCCACAGCTCCCCACCAAGGATACGCTCAGGGAACATGTCTCTACGCCTCTCACCACTGTACAAGACATGCGTAGACCGAAATAGTAATTGATGATCTGTGAAAGGATGAAAAGCTGGTTCACTAGTCCGTGACCAGGAAGAATTCAGTTCCTTGTTTGCTTCCCTTGGAAAACCTACGTGAAGACATAAAGGAGCCTAAAACGAGAGCTCAGCTGTACAGCTTAAGCCTGAATGAGTTATGGCTCATTCTGTCTGAGCGCTTCTGTCTGTTCAATTTTTTTAAATGAATAAGAAAGAGCAAAATCTTATAAAAAATGTGGGGAACCAGCAAAGTGCCAACAGATGCATTTAGAGCAAAGAGTTGTGAATGATTGTGTTAGTAAGCAATAACTGGTGGGAGATGGTGCCACAGATGTGCTGCAGAGATTATGCTGGAAACATGACTGGAGGTCGGTAATCACCTCACATGCTGTTAGCCAATAGTAGCATATGAAACAATGTCTTTATATCTTTGCTGACTGAGAGCTGCAGGCACTGGAGACGGATGCAGAGTGGTAATAAATGAAAGGCTTTTGGTAAGCCTGTGGATGGGCCCTGTTGGTTCAGTTTATACTCCAGCAGTAAAGCAGTCTGGTCTGCCAGTGAGTATGACTGAGTGGATTTAAATGTAATATTAAAGTCTTCAACTTCCAAAAAGAAAAGAAAAGAAAAACAGGATAATGGCGAGTTAGGAGAACTGCATAAATAATTAAAAAAAACATAAATTGTACAAACTGGCAGCACATACGGTAAAGACAAGTTAAATGTATTATGTGCATATGAACTCCAGTAATGTTTGTCCTCAAACGGTCCTTTAGTAATATATTTTCTCATCCCTATTTTATGACCTTTTGGATGAACCTTCTGTGCATAAAAAGGCTTCATTACTTTGATAATAGATGCATTCGTTCTATAAATGGTTATGTGAAGCATACGACGCAGCTGTGAGCTATGCGGCTTTTCCTGTTGATTTTCTTTTTAGAGCATGTAGTTACGTGCTGCTTACAGGAAGGCACGTTCGGGGCTCTTTCCTGCTTGCATTTTCAGTTCAACAAACTCCCTTTACAGATAAATTTACTGAGGCAGTAGAGTTGATGGAGGACTTTCATCCTGTTGTTCATCCCCTTTTGGACCACTTATGTCTGTCAGTGTCACAGTGCAAACAGGGTGAGCGAAGCAGTCTAGTGTTCTTTTTCCCAGCAAGAGGCTTTTCCATCCATGAGAGTTTCCAGGACAGATGGGATATGCAATCCCTTCAACATGTTCTGGGTATAACCGGAGTTTCCAGAACATTTCCAAAGAGATGATCCCACACATCTTAACTGGCTTATTTCCAGTAAGTTAGTAGCTGCATACCAAAGACCTCCTTTATCAGTGAGCTCACTCAGAAATGTAAAATAAGCTGGATCTAGTAGCTCAACTCAGTCCTGAGGATAAGTGATACAGGGCCATTATCTTGAAGTTAAAATCTTGATTAATCGAAAGGCTTCCTGATCAAGGGAAATGGTAAAAACTGTCCTAATCTAGCAGCAGAAGAAGGCAGAAGGAAATTTTTGGTAATACTGCCCTGCAATAGCTAAACAGCCCTTTGGTGGAGTGGTTAGCACTGTTGCCACACAGCCAGAAGGTTTTCTGTCACTCTCTGTAAGGTCTGTGGTGGTCTTGCAACCGGTCTATTGTGTAAATGGACTGGTTCTTATCTTGCACTCTTCTACTCGAGCACTCAATATGTCTCACCCATTCATACAAGCACTTTCTTCTACCTAAGTTCTTTCTATCTAACATTCAAGTTGACACATTTGACTGATTTTCATTTCAAACAAAACACAGTTCAAGAATAGCAACTAATTAATATGTTTGCACATTTCGGTTTATTCCTTTTTGTGCTAACGACTAATTTTTTGTTGCTGGTGTTTATAGTTAAAACTGAAGGCTTGATCAGTTATTTTAGTTTTATTTTTAGGCAGCCACATAAACGTACATGAAAAAAGATACCAACTTATAATGTAAAATATCGAAAGATGAAGCAATACAAGGCTTTTTTTAGTTTTTAAAAACGCACGTGTATCCGTACCATTGTGTTTTTAGGAGGCCCAGTTAACTTCTCATATATCTATGAAATACTGGGTATGTCTGCACTAAATCAAGAACCCACCATGATAGTTGGCTGCATAACTTTCCACGAGGACAGATGAACCCGCTGGGCACCATTTGACAGAGATTCAGCTTCTTGCTGCACTGGCCAAAGTGGGAAGATTTGTGAATAAATGAGGCATATCAGTGTGAAGTGTGAATGGTCAATAGGGACTGCCACTCATCATCACTCTGCCTGCTGGAAGCTGCCTAAATCCTGCTTTTAGATGTTGATGTCACAGCTGTCTAAAATCAACCAAGATGATTCTGCAAATCTTCCAGGCGGAGTGAGGTAAAGTCATGTCCTCAGGCATGGGTACTGTGCTCTAGCTGTTGTTAAGAATCTTTTGAAATTCAAGCACTTTTCTGTCTCGTTTATTCTAAATGTTAGTATTTAATCACATTTCTTCCCCCCTGTAAGTCTTCCTGTTGACAGATACTGAAAAAGATCTGTGTTTAGCTCTTTATGAGCTGGCAGATTGACCCGTCTTAAAAAAATAAAACAGTTTTCAGAAGTGAGAGACTAAGTGATCATAAATTAACTCTAAGCTTTTGTTTTAGATTGAAAGTGAAAGCTGGATTTGCAGCTGCTATTGTGCTTTCGGGGCTTCCTTCACTCAGCTCGACAGTGGGCATTTATGTGAAAGGTTGCTTCTATTAGTATTCATCCTGTTAGGCTTCAGTGACTAACAGAGAGCTGAGAGATTTACAGATGAATTCAAACTCATGGTTTAAGAGTGAAATATCTAATATCATTTTCATTCATTTCAACAAACTTACCGTAATGTCGAAATAAAAACCCCTAATGGCTATGTTTTAATGATAAGAAAGATACTAAAGGTGCCTCTTCTCGGAAATTCATTTTTAAATATTTGTGCAGACCTAAAGCATTGCTGCAGCAGATGGTGTACCCATGACACTGCGTGATTTTGCAAGAATGCATCTTCTTTTTTAGTTTGTGTTAAAACAAGAAACAAAATCCTAACTGTGGTGCTGACTCTGGCAGGAGTGCTTTTTTAGCTTGGTCTGGTGCCCCGTTTAACCCGGATCGTGGCATTTGTTGGCGGGAAGCTTTTACTTTTATAATCTGTTTCATCTGAGATTCTGTGAGGTGTATTTTATAATTGTTGCTGTCGCTGTCACACCTCTTCATCTTCTTGCCTTCGGTCCCGCAGGAGGCTGGATCCCTCTGAGCGTCCGCTCCAGATGGTGTATGACTACTTGGCGTCAATGGGCTATGCAGACCCTGTACGAGTGCAGCAAGAAGCCGCCAACTCAGACCTCAGCTGTTTGATCCGTTTCTACAGTGGTGAGTACTCATCAGCGGCGGCAATCAGCCCTTGGTTTCACTTTCTGCTGCTGCTGACTGGAACCTGGCATGTGCTTCGAGTTTTTCTCTGCACACAGACCTGAGGGCACAGAAACATTCTTAGAACGCTCCAAAATGGTTTCGCCACATCCTCTGGCGAGTGTGTACGATTGGATTAAGTGAGAGAGGTTGTTTTAGGGCTCTCTGAGTTTGTTGCTTCTGAAGCTGCCTCCAGTCTTCAGTACAGTCTAAGATAAACACGTCAGTCATGGCCTCATGATGGATTACTGACCATCATTCATCCTGTGGTGTTGTATGCTTCATTGACCTGAGGTCTGGAGTGACTAAGTGTCCCTGTGTCTTTGTGATTAATGCGGCACCAGAATGGATGCGACTCTGGAGAAACCAGTGACGAATTTGTGAACGCATCTAAGCGCTGCTCACCTAAAACCTCTCTCAGTCTTCCCGTTTGAAGGCTGCTCTATTAATACTCATACAGTAGTTGCAGTTAGGGATTTTCCTTTTAGCATAAATGGTGATTGGTGTGCTATAATGAGTTTCAACCAGCGGATGTTCCCGCTGAGTCAGTGGAACTTAAGCTTGGGCTTTGAACTGCTCACGTATCCAGAGAAAGAGCAAGACTGGGTAAACCACAGTGTCTAAAGGGTTCACATGCACTTCCTCCCACATCAGGCACATAGCTCTCCTCAGAGTGAAGTGCAGGACTGCTGTAGTGACTGAAATACACTCTACAGACAAACGTAATCTGCTCTGTATGGAAGTTCTGCGGTTGATGAGTGACAGATGAGGAAAGTTAAACAAATCAAACTCACCATGAAGTCTTAGCAACAGATATAATTAGTTTGTGATGCATGTGAAACAGAACGGTGACGCCCAGTTTTCTTTTATCCTAAAAATGTTTAGAACACCATTAATAATTATTGTGATGCTTTTAACGGTTTCGATGCCCCGTGGAAAAAAAATCGATATTTTGAGTCCTAGACCTTTTATTGTATATAGTTTCAGTTTGATAATCAGCCCTCAGATCAGGATATTTAAGCTGTACATTTTTTTTCTTTTGCTAGCTTCTTTTTAAATGATGTTGGGTTTTTTTTAGCTGACGGATCTTAAGATCACTCTGGCCTGAGTCTTATTGGTAGTCCTCATGTGTCCAGAGGCCCACTGTTGTTTTCTTCTTGTCAACATGAGAACTGGTCAGATCTTGGCTACTATCAGCAATCAGGCCACACTGGGTAGAGTCTAGCCAGGCCCCTTGGAGACTTCCTGCCTCCTTTTGTCGACTCATGGGAAAAGAGAACCAGGGACAAGACATGACTGGTTTTCAGGCTCGTTTAATGCCCAGTACAGGCCAAGAGGACAACTTGATTTGGCCGTGAAATACCTGCTAAACTGCTAAAGTGACAGCTGGTAATAAAGCTTTGAGTTTGTTGTGGGGACACAAATGATGTCAGCAAATGACAGATATCTATAAAATGGGCAAGTCACCTCTTGTGTTCACGTACAGGTTTCTTATGAAGAATTAAAATAACTTAAGTAGCAAGCTTTACCGTTGCATTTAATTCTTTGGCTGGTAACAGAGAACCCTGTCTTTTTATTTTAACTCACAGCACAGGTGCAGAGATTTAATCAGACCAACTCATCTTTTCTAATTTACGTAATTTAAAATTAACCACTTTTTTCACCAATTTTTCAACTAGCTAAAAAGTCAGCTTTTTAAAATGTTAAACTTTTAAGTAACTTTTTGTTTTAGTGCTGTAGCATTTTTATTGTGAAGCGCTTTGTGATCTAGAAAAGTGTAAATAAAATGTTTTTCTTTTTTACTTTAGATTCTTTTAACTTCAGGAAACTCCACTGCAGTTAAGTGAGTGAACACATGAAATTTCACTCAATTCATTAGAGTTTTGTTCTAAAAGGCAAAACTTGCATACTTCCCATGATGCATTTCTAGAAAGTTCAAACTCTTCAGGGATTCTGCCTTTTTTTGTAAGAAAGACATGATGGAAAGTTGCCGTATACCTTTTAATATGTTCACATTATGTTACAGTCACACTAGGGAAAACATTGGTTGGAGCAAACGGTTACTTCGAAGGCGAGACCAGTCACAGTTGCTGTGACTTTGCTGTGTCAAGATGGCAATAAAGACAAGCGACAAGGCAATCAGACAGGAATGATGACGTGTCTGAGTTGTACTCATTGATTGGCTCAGACTGTTGCAATGTGTTGCGAGTAGGTCTGCATTTATGAAGTACACAGCAATTATTTGCCAGCCTTTGCCAGTCAAGGCAGTCAGTCTGAGTCAGACCATGTCTGTCTGGAGATTGGTTGCCTCTCTCAGCTGTCTTGCAATCGAAAGGGGTTGTGCAAAGGTTGAGTGTACTACGCCCTCAAGCATTGGGCAACCCCTTTTGAATACCTGGTGTTTGCAACTACTTGTCATCCAGATTAATGCAGCTATGATTTTTAGCTACTTGCACAGAGGGTGCTATCTTGTTTATCCTCTAGTGCGACGAGAGTAAAAATTATTTTTGTCCATTGTGAAAGCGGTTCTGTCTGTTACGGGGTTTAGGATTGAAATGCATTGAATTCAGCCCCCATCCCCATAGACTTGGCTTATACAGCAGTTTATGTAACTGTCACTGGGAGCAGCGTCACTGGTCGTCTCTGTACTGACTCTGCAGGTTTAAACTGAGAAAAGTAAATCAAGTCTGGAACAGTGTGCAGGTTCAATTCAATGGCTTAATGTAACTTAACTTAATAATTTCTTCTTTTTTTCTTTTTCTTCTTCTTTTGGCTGCTCCGTTAAGGGCTCACTACAGCAGATCACCTGCCTCCATCTCACCCAATGCCAAGCATCCTCCTCTGTGACACCAGCCGTCTGCATGTCCTTCCTAACCACACCCATGAATCTATGTGCTCTTCTTCTTTTTCCTTCTGCATGGCAGCTCCATTTTCAGCATCCTTCATCCAGTATATCCACTATCCCTTATTTCCACATGTCCAATCAATCTCAGACTTTGCCTCTCTGACTTTGTCCCCAAGCTGCTCGACCTGATCTGTTCCTCTGACCTACTCATTTCTAATCTTGTCCATTTTGCTCACTCCAAATTAAAAATCTTAACACTCACTACGGCCTTGTAAAACATCTCTTTCAACCTTGCTGCTATCCTTCTGTCAAAAATCACCCCTGATGCTTATCTCCACCCACACCACCCTGCCATGACTCCCCCAACGTGCACTGTCTGTTGCTTTGAATGGTTGACCGCATTTATATTTCTCATTTCTCCTTGCATCCTTACTGTAACTAGCTTTGCAATGTCTCAACTCATGAGGACTTTAACTTATCAAATCAAGCCGAGAGCAACTTACTCACATTTTTAAGGCAGTATGCACAAAACTCAAGTTAAGACAAAAAGTAAAAAAAACCTCAAACAAACCAAACAACAACAAAAAAAAAAGTTACAGCGTCGATGGCCTTGTGTGTCTTCCTCCAGGTGTCTGTTTGCCTAACAACCGTTGTTGTGGTAACGATCTGACTAAGCAGATGAGTGAAACTGTGATCCATCAGTAAAGACTACAGTTGCTACAAGACCACCTAATGTGGTACACTGAGCGTGCCAGCTGTACGCTCTGCACAGTCTGCATTACTGGACCTTACTGGCTCTGAATCTGAGAGCGTTTGTAATGGAAACTCCCCCAAAACCACGTTTATTAAAGATTGTCTCACCATGCAGATCGCTTTGCTTTTATGAGCCCAGGATCATCATCACAAACCAGGGGAGGTGGGCTTTTGTTTATAATGTTCACGGTATTAAAATGGCACAGTAAAGACCTCAGCAGCACATCTTTCCACAGAAGCCTCGAATAATCCACATATGACCTTCTTAATGATTCCTGAAAACTGATAAAAGAAAAGATGCTCTGTTAAGTTTCGCTGAACTGCCCTTGTAAAATTGTTTCTATGAGCTTGCTCTTTTTTTGATATTAGTTATGTCTTCAGGCTTGTTCAGATCATTCAAAAGAATCTGTGGGACAGTGTGAGAAGTATTCATCTCAGACTGTCTCACAGGCATACAAACGGTGGATCATGGTTACGAGAATGCCGACTTTCTATAATAAGACAGTGGTGCGAATACATGTGCGTTTCTACCTACGCACTGCCACGTGAGTTTCATTTCTAACCACAGGGCTTTACAGCCTGATTTTCTTTTTTCTCAAGCCACCAAAGAGGTTCAAAGTGCAATGCAGCAGGTAATTTATTAAACTTTACTCTCCTCTTATATGTTCAGGAAACTCATCTGGGACCTTCTTTCTCCACACCCACTGTACACACACACACACACACATACACGCACACCCTTCAGCTGTGTTGCATGGATGAAATTAAAACAAACATGGACAGGGGAGTAAACTTTTCTAAATACTGACTTAATAAAAAACACTTCTAGTGAAAACAACCGCAGAGACCTGAGGGCCAGCGGATCTTTGTGTCAGCCTGTGCAGCTGCAGCGCAGATGAAGCTGGCTGTAAGCTCTGGCGTTCATGCCCCGGGCTGTGTTCCACCTCTGTCTGCGTGATCTTTTACGTCTTTGAGAAAGGCGGCTTGTAGCTGCTGTCCACAGTTCACGTAAGGCCCGCTGTCAGGATCAGACCTGAGGGAAATAAATCTGCTTCACAGGGAAATTAATCAGAGTCAGCTCACCTTATAAGTTGTTGGTTTGACTAATGCTGACTTTCTGATGGAATTTAAACCCAAATTAAGTTTGTGGACATCCTGAACTGGTGTGTGAAGGTTTGAGACATTTTGCGGTGTGAAAGAAGGGAATAAATTGTTTGCCCTGACAAAAATAAGAGAAACAGTCGGACTGAGGCTTAAGAAAAAATTGAATTCTGTTCAGATCCAAGTTTGCACAGACTTGCCCCGAGCGACAAAGCTCTTGCCAGCTCCTCATAAACATGCTGTTTCTGAGATTAAGTTCTGGTCCTCCCAAGATTTTCTCTTTCCCATTTTAAACCTGCAGACGTCCGTCATCCTAGACTCATGGCGAGTTTTTAAGAGAGACGGCTTACTGAGGGAGAAACACCAGTTTAATCTTCTGTTTTAAAGTCATCTGTATTCAAAGGCGGCATTCAGCTGCGTGTCTTCCACTGGTTTTCTGCACAGTTGCTCTATTTGATGTCAGGAGTTAAACTCTTGCTCAAAGTTTAACGAACAGTTATTTTAAATTGAGATAAACACAGACCACCTAGAGGAGGTATCTGTGTGGTGGGCTGAATTAGAATTTTCTGCCAAAAAGAGCTTGCTGTTCTGAGTCAAATCAGACCGTGTTTCCGCCTCCACTGACCCCCTACTGCATGCTAATGCAATCTATGCGATCTTGAGCAAGACAAAAAAGCTCTGGGATACAGGGAGTATTGTATTCGGCGGTTGCCTTGAAATGATCCAACATGTGGACAAAAACTGATTTTAAAACAATAGAAAGAACCAAGATGAGGAACCTACACACTAAAACTCCTGGTAGAGTTTTTCTCCTTGGAAAGAACAGACACTTTTGCCTGGTTTGGACCCTTGTCCTTTCTTCAGTGATGAATCATCTACAGGCTACTTTGTTCTTTAATCATTAGGCCTACAAAACATTAGAGAACAGTATAAATGTTCATCAGTTTCCTAGAACCAATAATAATACCAGCTCATAAGTATGTAGATATTCCAGTTTTATTCTCTTTTAAGGATCTGCACTCTGTGTGTTTCCAATCGTCTGCTGTCCAGTTTTGTTGAGCCTGTGTGAACTGAGAACTGCTGCTTCCTGGATATTTTCTGTTGTTCAGACCATTCTCTGTAAAAGAGATGGTTGTGTGGGAAAATCCAAGTAGATTAGCAGTTTCTGAAATACTCAGAGCAGCGCGTCTGGCACCAACAACCATGCCATGTTCAAAGTTACTTAAATTACCTTTCTTCCCCATTCTGATGCTAAGTTTGGACTTCACAGGTCGTGTTGATCATGTCTGCAGGTGTAAATCCACTGCATTGCTGTTTAGAGATTTTTAATGAGCAGTTGAAAAGGTGTACCTAATTAAGTGGCTTGTAAGTGCATACTGGCTTCAGTTTTCCCCAAATAGCTCTCTGGATCTTTCTAGACTTCCTCCCTTGTTTCCATATATATTCTTTTAATAATCAAATCACCTTCTATATTATACATTCGTGTCTCTCACTTCCCCTTTTGTTCCTTTCTGTTTGTCACCTCATTCCTTTGTTTATCTATCCATTTTTATTTTTCAGTGGAAAATTAATTTGACTCTTTACTCATCGGGCTTGGCATACTGTGATATAAACGTATTCCTTAAAGAATTTAGAGTTAGTGTTAATGTTGTGCGTATTGGCAACTTTTCTATATTGGATCTGAAGTGAGATATCACTAAATTTGCTGTGCGAAGGTCTCAGCCACACTTCTGAGAAATCACACATTCCACTCTCTGGTCTGTCACTTGTCCCTGAGGTTTGGCAGCCTCCCACCCGGAGGACGTTTGACACCGGTTGATGATTAGTTTGAAGGCAGCTGTCTGCAGCCCTGCTCCTTGAGAAAACAGTGTTGCGCAACATGTTACGACCGTGTCATCCACCCCCTCTGGAGCCACGGGGAAACGGTCAGCATTTTTGTCGTGAGAGGGATGGGATTGATTTGGAGGGAGACATCATAAGGGCTTACATACTCACACTTTGATTTTGAACAACCTGTTTCCTTAGCAACTGATCGCCCCGCAGACCTTTGGGGATAGCATGTGTGTTTCTTTTATTTTAGAAGTTGGCTCTTTATGGCTAGGAGATGTTTTATATTGCGTTTGGACAGTGCCGTGACTTTGTATGCCTGGACACCTGCACGTTCGCACCATGAATGCACACATTTGTATTCATAATTTGGGCGCTTTTCTCATTGATAACTCCCACAGTTAACTAATTTAATCAAGGCACTTTGATTTTCCTTTGTAAGCCCAATGTGCTCTTGCAGCGAGCAAGCACGATGATTCTCACACAGATCCACAGATAATTATAATTCTTTCTCAGATGATTAGTGTTACTGAGAAAAATTTGATTTGGGAAAAAAATGTGATGATACACAAGAAAATGGTGAGGGGGTGACAATATTATCAGGGATGAAACCACATTTTCCTGGTTTTAGGGCTGTTTTGGAATTCTGTCTTTTACTAGAGACGGGCGTATGTGTTACCATCCTGCATGTGGTGCTCTTATAAAGGTTTGCCATGAAATTACCACAAATGGGCCTTAACAAAGCCGGATATAGAGCGTGGTTGTTTCTGGTGATGTGCTGCGAAGGCTGTGAGGGCATCCTGTCGGTCTGTGTCAGTTTGTATCGAGCTGATTTGTGCACTGCAGAGGGATGATGTTTTTCTTAATTGCGAGTTTTAATCTGAAGCTCTGGGAACACAGAGTAACTAAAGCAGAGCGTGACTCGACAGTTTCCTGCCACAGGCGGCAAGAAAAAGCACTTATCTACAGTCCAGCTGTTTTTCCCCCTTTTAGATACCTCCATTGTACCCGTCATCGACCCCGTGAGGTTTTTGTGTCTCTAATTTTCTCTCTGAGTGAGGGACACCCAAGGATCAGGAGCTGCTATTGATCTGCCAGCGAGCCAATTTGTTGTCAGAAGCACTTGGCTTGTTCATTATCAGTTTTCCTTGGCGAAGAAAAACATGAGGGGGCTCTCATTTCGTTTAGATGCCCTTGTGAAGCGGAAGGGGAGGTGGAGAATGAAAACAAGTTAGACGTGAAGCGAGAGCGAGAGAGAGCGAAAGCAGATTGCCAACGAGAGCCTCCGAGTGGGAGGCAGCATAAGTTGGTTCGAGGAAAATTTAACAACAGAGGACAGGAGGCTGAGGCAGTGTCTCCTCTGTGCTTGTTTGACCTGCTATTAACCTGAGTGTACTTGGCAGAGACGGCAGCACTGCTGTCTGATGTATCCTTCAGCAATGGCCAGCTAAGACTACCTGTAGTGCAACTTGGCATAATTAAACTGAGCAGAGTGGAGTTAAATGTGACAAAACCCTGACTCATTCATCAATATGACTGATGCCTCTTATATGTTGGGTTGGCAGCAGGGAGTAGAGAGAAACCTTTCCAACTGAGCTGAACAGAAGAGCTCTAATATGGCTTTAATTTAATAGATGCTTAATAATGGAGTTTAAAGTTTAAACTCTCTTCTGATTAGTGGAAGAACAAATGAATTATTTTTCAGTAAGCACAGTCCTAAGCACTGATGTAAGACCATTTCTTGGAATAGCTATACTGTGGAGCTGACTAACGGACAGGTGATGTCATAATGACCTTCGAGTACTTATGTGACTTCATTTTCTGGAACCTTTGTCTAATGCGTAACTGCAAAACATTTGCAATTAATTAGCTCAATTTGCTTATCTCAGCAGTGGCTTTGGGTTTATTTGCATTAGATCGATTGCTGCAGATTTGCACTAACATCTGTGCGTGGGCTTTCTCTCCCAGAGCGTCCAGTGAATGCGGACCAGCAGGAGCGGACCTTGCTGAAAGGCGTGTTCAGCGTCAGGAAGGGCAAGACTCAGCTGCACAAGTGGGCCGAGCGGCAGGTCATTCTCTGTGGCACCTGTTTGATCGTGGCCTCTGTGAAAGACAGCCTCACCGGGAAGATGCACATCCTGCCCCTGGTGGGGGGAAAGGTGAGAGTTCAGGGTTTAGAGCTTTGACAGCCTGAAAGGGTGGTAAGCTTTCACTTTCTCCAGGGTGGAGGACATGCTCCAAGCTGTGCCATAACACTCTTCAACAACACAGCTGGGTTGGTCGTCTGGATAAAGTTAAAAAGATGACATGCCTGCAGAACCGTGTCATGAAAAGTTCTCAGCCAACAGAGAATGCAAGATCCTCTTACTCAAAGATTAGCAAAGCTGCACACTAAAGCGCAAAATACATAAAAAATCGGTGTGTTTGTGTTTGAGCTGATAAAACTTCAGTGGCACACTCTGTATCTCCACGTGAAACCATAGACTGTATATAAAAGATGGAAATCATCGGTTGGCAGCTTGGTGGTTTGAAACTGCAAATGTAGAGCGAGTGGTGGCTCGGCTCGAAAAACCGAAGGACACTGCACACTTTTCAGTCACACACCTGCTACTGTGTATTCCTTCTGAACTTTTAATAATGTCTTTGTTACGGACGCTAAGACCCTAAACTCACCAGAAAAAAAAAGTTTTTCCTGAGGTTGGCATCAAGTGAGCAAAAAAGGGTCATTTTCCTATAAGCCTCTACACAACCAGGCATAATTTGGAAATCTTAGTATCTCCCCCTGTTGGCCATTAGAAGGAATGCAGGATTTAAAGGACTTCCACATTGGCAAGTTTTAGATCTTGAATGAATTCTCTACTAGCATAGCAGAATCAGTGTTGCTCTTGGAGTTGCATTGTGGCTAATGTGTATCCCAGGTTTTCTTTTTATTTTCTTTTTCCAGTTGTGCTGAATGAGTCCACTAGTGTCACAGAAATACAGAGTTAAATGCTTTTGCGCTATCGCTGCAGTCTTTGTGGCCTCCAGCTAATGTTTTATCCAAGTTGACCAGATTTAAACATGTTATCTAAGGTTTTTTTTGGAAATGTCAAAATCAGAATCACTGAATGTAGCAGACAAAAACACACTAAAAGAAACAAACACAAAATCACCACAAATTAAATATGTCTGTTCAGTGTTCCTGATCTCATCTCTGTGTTGTCTTTGTGTCGAGGTGGAGGAGGTGAAGCGGAGGCAGCACTGTCTGATGTTCAGCTCAGCCGGGTCTCAGGCCCAGACATACTTTGTCAACTTTGACACACTTGCAGACTATCAGCGATGGCACCGGCAGGCGTCAAAGGTAAGTCAAAGGCGAGCGCGTCTCACTATCTGTACATTAAACATTCACTAGCTGGGACCACATCCTCACTTTAGGTTTGACGGCATTTCTAGTAGGTAATGGCAGATGGCGTGAACATGAATTGAGGCTGCGGTTTGGGGAAGACCTCAGATGGGACTGGCGGGCCTTGCAGAGGAGAGGGAGGGTGGGAAAATGAGAACAAATGGGGAAAGGGGGGGGTCATATGTAGATATATAGAACCAGAAGGGGCGTGTGTGGAGGTGGTCCCACTCTTGAAATACAGATTAATTATCTCCTGTGTTTTTTTTAAACTTAAATCAGAATGTCTGTGAGTCAGATGATGTGAAATGAATGTATTTTTGTATTTGTGTTGTAACCCGGGTTTAAAAGATGCATAAATAGTAAAAGATAAGTGAAGTCTGAGAATATAAATATCAAAGAGTTCATTTATTTAAATTTTCTTGTTTATTAAAAAGGTAAAAGTTCATGTAAAATTATTAAAAACATGTTTGCATTGTTTAAAAGAAGTTATCTTTCTTTTCTTGTGAATTGTTTGTGAGAACTGTAATTTCCTACGGGGATAAGGTCGGTGAAGGTAACACAGGGTGGAGAAGGAAAAGGGAAAAAGAGACGAGAGCGCGAGAAGAGGGGGCGGTGGTGCGTGAGTTACACGGAGCATCCGGAGAAGTTAGCTTGTTTTTTATGTACTAAGAGTAAGTGTGTTTTGACTTTTCGGACAGATAAGTCACAGTGTCGGTAAGCTAGTGACATAACACGTAAAGTTTCAGCGTGAGTCTGCTGGACTGTGTGCTTTGTTTCTTGCGGCTGTGCACGCATTAAGTTAAAGTGAGGCTAACCCAGCCGTTCGCTAATAAGGACCACTGTAGGCTGCCGTTTCGCTATAGTTGTGGAACGTAACAAGCTGCAGAGGATCGTTACCGAACTGGATAACGACGGACACACCCCAGATAGTCACTCTGAGTGCCCGCGTCACTCAGAGTACCTCTGGCAACGTGGGAAGCTAAAACAGGTAGCTTGTGGAGCACGTGGAGATCACGGACCTTCCTCATCTTTGTGCTACTGCATTCAGAGCGGAGTGTTTCTGACGGAGCTGAAGACAACTTGTTACCTGGATTAAGCTGGTGGGAATTGCACGTTTCACAAGGTACTGAGTTTATTTATTTATTTTTTGCTCGTTGAGTGAAGAACTTCCGGTTGGGAGATCGTTTTGGATTTATACTGGAGCAATACAGGCCTGCAACGTAGGGTTTATCTCTGCCGGCTTTAGGTTTAGTTTGGGACTATAATTGTTTTGTCACTGGTGGTTTACACTGTATGTGTGGAGATTCTGTGTACAGTGGGTAAATTGCTGTGTGTGTTTTTGGTTTGCCTGAATACTGAAATCTGCCATTTTATTATTTTCTTGTTTTCATTGTTTGGTAAATTAAAGGAGGGTTGCAATGCTCTACTTTACATGGTGTATGACATGATTTACTGCACTATAGACACTAGTGTTAATTTTCGCGTGTAGTGCTACTGTTAAGGAATAAGCTTCATTGATCCCAGAAACAAAAAAGAAGTTAATTTAAAACATCGTACGAGAGTACACTAGAAAAAGAACCAAAAGCCCATTTATTTAATGGTATTGAGTAAATGAGGGCTACATAAAATGGAGGCACCGCTGGGATGTTTTTGGGTCTCATAGAAGTATTAAAGGAGCCACACGCTTAAAAAAAAAAAAAAAAAAATAAAAGTTAACATACAGTAGCTAGTTTACACTTCTTAGTATTTTTGGCTATTATGAGTATGGCAGACCACACCGGGCTCGCTGCAGAGCTGAAGAGGTGGTGTCGGGGTGAAGGTTTGGAGGAAGCTAAAGCACTCTTGGTTCTGGTTCCAGAAGAAGTGGAAATAGCCCAGATAGAAGAAACCTTGGAGACTATTAAGTGTCTAGGACGAGTCCGGGTTAGAGGGCGCTTGTTCCACACCCCCTTGAGCTGCCTAATGGTTCTCTGCGAGTGCAAACAAAGTATACCTAAAGATAATGCACCCAAGGAAGTGCTGGACCAGCACAGTGGTGAGAGATGGCCGATAGTGACTCTTAATGAATGTGCAGCTCGTGACGATTTTGCTGTGAAGTTGAAGAGTCTCTTAGACACTGAGGGTAGGACTATGGAAGACATACAAAGCTTATTTCGCAGCTTTGCTCCTCCGCAGCGCAGCTCTGATCCTTCCATAAACTCCACTGAGTCTGTCTTGCAAGCGGTTGGTGATTTTTTTTTGGAGAAGGCACGTAAACCACAAGCTGAAGGTGGTTATCGGCGTTTGAGGCTGTTTTCAGGGAACTTACCAGTTCCCCCTAGTGAAGACCCCTTTGACCATTGGCTTGAGCAGGCATGGCTCATGGTAGAGGAAAGTGACTGTACAGACAAGGAGAAAAGGCGCAGGCTGATGGAAAGTTTAAAGGGGCCGGTGTTGGAGATTGCCAAATCGGTCCGTGAGTCAGACCCTGAGGCGGGCCCTGTTGAATACCTGGAGGCTTTGGAAAGCGCCTTTGGCAGTGCTGAGTCTGGGGATGATCTCTATTTTGCTTTCCGCTTAATGCAGCAACAATCAAGTGAAAAACTGTCTGATTTTCTGAGGCGTCTGGAGAGGGCCCTCAGTAAAGTTGTTCAGAGAGGAGGATTTCCAGCTTCTAGCAAAGACAAAGCTCGCCTAGAACAACTCCTGAGAGGGGCTGTTGTTTCCGATCTCATGCTAATTAATCTGCGCCTGAGAGAGAGAAAGTCCAAACCCCCAACTTTCCTCCAACTCTTAAGTGAGATTCGCACAGAGGAAGAGTATGAGGCATCAAGGAGGAAACTCAATACCTCAGTCCAGCATGTGCAGACAAAACCTTTAGGGACTGACAATACAGAAATACAAAGTCTCAAAGCTGAAGTTAAAGAGCTTAAGGCCAAGTTAGCCACCTGCATGACTAAGTCCCCTGATGTCAAAGAGAAAGGCCCGTCCTCAGTGCAGTCAAGTGAGCCCAGTGACACCAAGGAACTGGCTGCTTTGAAAAAACAAGTGAAAAGACTGCAGCAGAAAGTAGCCCAAAGAGATACTGTTCCGGACTCCTCTTTAAAACTGGCTACCATGGCAGCAGTAGAGGCTAACTCAAAGACAAGGACCCCTTACCAGAACAGAACGCCTTTGGATGAGCAGTTCTGTTACCGTTGTGGGGAAAAGGGACATTTTGTCGCAAAGTGTCAAAATCCTGAAAAGCAGAGCAAAGTTATTCGAAAGCTCATCCAAACTGTCAAGACACTGAAAGAAAGTTCAAGTACTTCAACAAGTAATGCCCCTGACACTGACTGTCATGTCAAGCAGGGTCTTCTGACTTCTCCCACCCCAGCTGGAATTCCGGAGGGACTGATTGGGCCCCCAAGTATTGTGCCACTTAAAGTGAATGGACAGCCCTGTAATGCCTTATTTGACAGTGGATCACAGGTCACCATAATATTCGAGTCCTGGTACAAAGCCCATCTGCCTTCCACCCCAGTGCATCCAGTCACCGGTCTCAACATTTGGGGTTTAAGTGAGTCCAATGTCAGTTACCCCTACCATGGCTATGTTGTGGTAGATGTTGAGTACCCGGCTGAAGTGACTGGCACCAAACACACAGTACCTGTCCTTGCCCTGATCTGTCCAAGCCCAAAAGAAGAGCAGATTCCTGTCATTGTTGGCACTAACACCAGCCATGTCCGCAATTTGGTGCAGGAATGCAGAAAAGAGGGGCGTGACATAACCAAAAGCCTGGGCATCCAAATTCACAGGGAGTCGCTACCCACTTTCACAGACTCCATCACCCTAGGCTCTCAAGGTGACCAGGTTGGCTGTGTGACTTGGCAGGGTTCAAATCCCTTGTCCTTACCCCCTGGAAAAGACTTGCAAATAACCTGCAAAGTTCATTTTCAGCAGACAGTTGGCAAAGAGATCTTGATGTTTGACTCTTCTCCCTTAGCTCCTCTGCCGGGTGATGTCCTGCTTCAACCCATGGTTGTGCCCGCCAATGCGGTACAAGTTAACAGCTTCAGGATCCTGGTGCAGAACCAGTCCGCCAGGGAAACCATTATCCCGGTTGGAACCGTCATGGGTCACCTTTATCGCACCGAAAGCGTCATCTCCATGCCAAACAAAGAACCAGAGACGACAGCATTTGACAGCAGCCAGATTGACTTTGGTGACTCTCCTGTGCCTGAAGAGTGGAAGGGCCGGCTTAGACAGAAACTAGCGGAACGCTCCCACGTCCTCTCAGTCCATGAATGGGACGTTGGCCTTGCAAAAGAGGTGGAGCACACCATCCGCCTGGCTGACACAAGACCTTTTCGGCAAAGATCACGTCGACTGGCACCTGCAGACATAGAGGATGTAAGAAAACATCTGCAAGAGTTACTCTGTGCCGGCATCATTAAAGAATCCCGTAGCCCCTATGCCTCACCAATTGTAATAGTTAGAAAGAAAAATGGCACCATACGGATGTGCATAGACTACAGGCTCCTTAACAGTCGGACCGTGCCAGACCAGTACACGACCCCCTGCATTGACGAAGCACTGGATTCTTTGTCTGGGAGCAAATGGTTCACAGTGCTGGATCTGCGTAGTGGATACTACCAGATTCCAATGGCAGAGGAAGATAAAGAGAAGACGGCGTTCATCTGTCCCCTAGGCTTTTTCCAATTTGAGAGAATGCCGCAGGGAATAACAGGAGCACCTGCGACTTTCCAGCGTCTAATGGAAAAAACAGTCGGAGACATGAACCTCCTCCAAGTCCTGGTTTACTTGGACGACCTGATTGTTTTCGGAAAGTCGCTGGAGGAACACGAAGAGCGGCTCATTAAAGTCCTAGATCGTCTTGGAGAAGCAGGACTAAAGATCTCCCTGGACAAATGCCAGTTTTGTCAGCCACAGGTGAAGTACCTCGGGCATATTGTGTCTGCCCAAGGTGTCTCTCCTGA